GTATTGGCTTCAGTTTATCAAGTGTATTCAGTGAAATCGCTGGAGAAATTTATCAGAAATGTGTAAACGATTTCCCATACAACTTACTGACAGTTAATTTATAAAGATTACACAATTATAAGTTTATACGGTTTATAATGCATATCGTCGATGTTTTTGAAAAACCGCCTATCTTACGACATTCAAATTTTAGAGGAGAGCGAAAAACGGTTTTTATTTGAAGGCATTGGCGCCTTTCTCTAGCTATTATTTTACAAATCTGTTGTTGTTTTAATAACGATTTTACGATTCCTATGCATATATCGCGATGCCCGGAGTTCAGGGTTACCAAATCTCATTTATGTCACAATGGCGTTTTAGGCGGTTTTGCAATTGGGCGATGGGCGGTTTTGTAAAAAAAAGATCGACGATATATGTACATATAAGGTTTGATGAATACCCTTAGGGCCAGTTTTTCAGTGCACGGCCGTTGTTTGAACTAAGTTTAAACGACCGATCTGGTAGGTTTAAACTAACACCAGCCTATCAAATGTCAGCCAGCTGTTCAATTTAAACTCAGTTTACTTAATCTAAGTTTAAACTGGCCATTAATTTTGTAACGCAAAACCGCGTAACTGACATTTGCTGTCAAAAATTGGATTTACTCACATAAGCTCTTGGCTCAATCCTTATCCATTCGTCCTGAAATTTACTAGCCACAAATGTGATTGCACTTTATAAAAAGTTTTGAAATACGAGTGTTTTTACTCTCAAGAAAATAATTTATGCAACCTCACATACGCGGTTTTGTACTTTAAGCGACGAATATATATACATATCTACTAAAATTACAAAATCTTAACATTTGGTACAAACCTGTTTATTGAAATTTTATCTCAATCCAATTAAATTTGATCTTATTAAGCTTAAAGTAAATTTTATTTTTTTATTAAAAAGTGCAATGCAATATTTATCGATGCAACAAACCAAACCGAAACCTTTGCGCCTTTCGCATCAGCCAAAACCGGTGTCGGTGCTTTTTATGTGTTAATGTAACCCGTTAGTTCAAAATAAAAGGCAAACACAAAAATCATGTGTAGCTAAAAACCCGTTGTTTAAATAATAAAAACAAAAATAATAGCTCGAATGCAATTACACGACCAACTCGGAACAGTAAAAGAACAACCGTATTTTTTTCACTTTTGTTTTTTACTTTCAATTTCCTTTATTGCAATGTAGTTTTTCCGCTGCTAGTGCATAGTAAAATTTTCTTTTATTTTTACTTTATTTTCCAACTGCATAAACACACTGGAAATGCGTTGCAAAACATGAAATGCAAAATGTTGTAGGTGTATTTTTAGCACATTTCCACTATTCGCGATTTGTTTTTTTCTACTTCAATTTAAGGCGCGTGCACCAGGCGACATGAAATACAACATGAACATCGAAAAAAGCACAACAATACGCGCTATAACGAGACACCGGCTACCGGTTAATTCCATGCAAATATAAAGTACTGTTGCGTCCGTGCACGATACGAAAACATAAACATCAAGCTGAATACTGAATCGCAATACATGTGATAACCGTCACATATAGCAAAAAATAATGAATGCGCGCACACCGTTATCGACTGAGCGCAAATTATAGTACCTTTGCTTAATGCCGCCACTGTCGATTTGATTGCCGTTGCTGTTCACGGTTGTCACTGTTGGTTGCTTCCAACCAAACTTGGCTGTTTTTATTTCAAATTTTCGAGTTCGGTTGTTTGGTAGTTATTTCTCTGACTTTGGCCCTTAGTTGTTTTTTCTTATACCCGAGTGAACTTGTGCACAAGGGTAATATAACTTTGTTCACATAACGGTTGTTTGTAACAGGCAAAACGAATCGAGAGACAGGCAAAAGTATGGATAAATGATTAGAATGAAAAGAGAAATAGATTACGGGGTGACTGTCTGTCCGTCCATCCGTTCGTCCGTCTGTGTATGCGAAACTTTGTACGTGCACTTCTTTCGGGCGTAGGATGGATGGTACTGAAAATGGGTAAAATCGGAAAGTAACCACGCCTACCTTCTATATAACGGTAGTTTTCAGAAATACGAAAACTGCGATATTTTAGTAACTACTGAAAATTATTCACTCAAAATTAATATTTACAATGATTTTTAGACGAAAAATAGGAGTATTATAAATTTTTGGAAAATGGGCGTAGCCACGCCCACTTATGATTACATGTGTACATATATCTTGGTAACCGCTCCACCAATTTCTCGGAAACTTGGTACAGTTGCTGGCTTTGGTACAACAGAGCAAATGGGCTCCATTATGTAGCACCCCATCCAAGCATTTACGAAAAATAAATGTATGCAATCGATTGGTCATCGATTGGTCAGGATGGCTCACTTATTTTCATCGTTTGGTCATTAGCCGTTCTTTTAATTGAATTTTCAAAATAGGTGTTGAAAATTATATGTGCTAGCATCCCATCCAAGCATTTACGAGAAAGAAATATGCAATGGATTGGTCACTTATTTGCATCGTTATATTTATCGATTTTGTTATCGATATTTTTATAGATTTTCTTATTCAGGCCGATTCTGAACAGGAACTCCCTGCGAGTTTTCTCTCTTTTCCCTTTCCTCCTATCATGAATAAAAATTCCCTGCACATATTTTATATTAAATATCGGAGTTGAGCTGTCGAAAAAGTATCAAACAGCTCTTGCGAAGTTTGAATTTTCTCCTTCCAAATTTTCGAGAAAATTGCTACTTCCTGGGAGTTAATTATTGGAGGATTGATTTCTCGGGAGAAACAAATTCCCGGAGAACAAACTCCCTGGGAGTATTCAGAATTGGGCTGATTGATATTATTATTGATTTTGTTATCGATATTATTTATCAATTTCGTTATCGATATTACCTATCGACTTTGTAATAGATATTTTTATCGATTCTAGTATCGATTATTTATCGATTTTGTTATCGATAAGCATATGTGGTCATAGAGGGCGCTGCCACGTCCATTTTCCAAAATTTTATTATAAACGTATTTTTTGCTAAAGAATTATTGCAACACCAATTATGAAGAAATTAGTTATAGTATTTACCAAGGCCATATTTTGGGAGCGGGTTGTACGACACGCCAGTCGTTTCTTTTCTGTGCCAACTTGAAAATGCCAATTGAGGCCAAGTCCTTCTCCACCTGGTCTTTCCATCTCAGTGGGGGCCTTACTCTTCCTTTGCTACCACCAGCAGATTCCGAGTTGAATACTTTCAGAGCTGGAGCGTCGGTGTACAATCGAACGACATGACCAAGCCAGCGGAGCCGCTGTATTTTAATTCGCTGCACTATGCCCATGTCGTTATAAAGCTCATACAGCCAATCGTTCCATTGGCTGCGGTACTCGCCGTCGCCAACGCGTGAAGGCCCGTAAATCTTCCGCAAAATCTTTCTCTAGAATACGCCAAGATCCGCGTCATCGGATGTTGTCATAACACCTATAACCAACCGCCCCATATGTTACTATTGGCTGTACCATCTTAGCATCCTGGGGCTACATTTTCAGGGCTTTTCCGACAGCTTACACACCTATAATGCTTTCGTGGCCTTGGATGTGGTCGCATCCACATGTTTCTTCCATAGTAGCTTGGACTCCAGGATTAATCCTAACTACTTCACTTCGCTGACGACATTGGCCACGATCCCATCCAAGGTAATTTTCCTTATGCCCGGTAGGGCTATTTTCCTAGTAAATGGCACAATGCCGGTTATACTGAGACTAAGTGCCCAGCAGTCGTCCACGGCTCGCGATAATGCCTCCAGCCAAGAAGTTGTGTAGAGATGTGAAGAGAAGTTGGTGCTGTCAGACGAATTTAATAATGTCAAAAGTAATATCGCAGAATTTTTAACTCCACATTTTAGGTTTTATGAAATACTTTCTTTTATTACAAATTAAATAGCGCCGTAGGCGAAAGTTTTCCAAATTTTCCCTTTTATAAGGTTTTTTTTGATTTTTTTTTTTTAAATAGCGCCGCAGGCGAAAATTTGGAATAAAAAATCGCGCGATTATAATCCTGCGAAGAAAAGGGGCTGAATACCTTTTGCAGAGAACATCTCTCTCAGCATTTTTTTGCGCCGAAGTTTTTTCTAAGCACAATTTCTTTCTGCGCAATTTGGCCGCGCTTCATGATCATAACCATTAATATGTACAATTCTCCTTTCTGTATTTGCAGGACTTTTTCTTAAGGGTATATAACATTTACTCTTTTTTTATGTTTTTTTTTCTTACGTTATTCAAAGAATCGAATCATAATAGCGTGTGGTAAAAGATTTTATTATGTATTTTTCAAAGAAAAACATAAATTTTTGTTGAAAAAATTGCCATAATTGAACATTTTTTAGGTGTTTAAAAAGCACATATTCAAATCTACCCTTATGTTGTGAAGGTCATTATGAAATATAAGTTGGGTATTTTACTGTCCTTAGGTTTGCAACATCTGGTAGCACCCTTCTTTTTTGTTAAAGAAAAGTAGTGAAATGGTTAAACGCGTTTTATATTGTTAAAAAATAAAATAAAATACATTTAATGTACACAAATCACACGTAAACATTGCAAATATCGTCAATTTATGCAAGTAAAAGTGATAGCTGCCCTTTTTATATGAAAATTTGCTAATGGAAGTGCAAAAAATTTAAACAACAAATTTCTAAAATACAGGTATTAAAAAAGTGAAAATTTATGTAAACATATCTGTTTCTTAGCATCCTCGTCAAGTTTCATAAGAAAATTCGTTATAGTTCTGCTAAAACACACACATGTCGAGGTACACTAAAATCACCCCGATTTCCATACAGAGTTTTACAATTCATTTATCAAAATGATAAGTTTGTCATTTTATCAAGTTTATTACCAGTTTTTCACTTTTGATGAAGACCCCTAGTGAAGTTTTGCTAAACACCGACATCGATAGTTTTCAAAAACTGTCGATAGAAGCACAGTTTTCAACTATCGATAGTATCCCATATCTATTTTTTTATGTCTGCTTTGTTGTGCTTGGAAAAAGTGTCAAAATTAGCAATTTTTTGTGTTTTCATTTAAAATTATTGCTAATCGATTTGGTTATTTATCCAGGGCCATGACTTCGTTGGAACCTGCACAAAATAAAACATGGGATTTATCATTGTACGAGCTGCAGCGGAATCCGCAAGAAATCATCACGGACAATACCGAGATCGCAGTGTCACCGCGGAGTCTGCACAGCGAATTGATGTGTCCCATTTGTTTGGACATGCTAAAAAAGACAATGACAACCAAGGAGTGTCTCCATCGTTTTTGTTCGGATTGTATTATTACAGCTTTACGTTCAGGAAATAAAGAATGCCCAACTTGCCGAAAGAAGCTTGTCTCAAAGCGCTCACTTCGGCCTGACCCCAATTTCGATCTCCTAATATCGAAAATATATCCCAGTCGTGAAGAATACGAAGCTATACAAGAAAAGGTTATGGCCAAATTTAATCAAACCCAATCGCAGCAAGCATTGGTTAACTCCATTAATGAGGGCATTAAATTACAATCTCAAAATAGGCCGCAACGTTTCCGTGCCAAAGGTTGTGGTGGACGCAATGGCGGCAATAATGGAAACCATAATTCAGCTAATGCGAATAACTCTAATAATGAGAGCGCCACAAATGGCAATGACAGCGATAATCGCGAAAGTGCAAATGGAAATGCACCTCAACCTTCTGCAGCCGCACCACCTTCAACACATTCCAGCACCTCGGCGGCGGCAGCATCGACGTCTGTTAGTACTGCCAGCACTAGCCGAATGCAACCAGATGATGGCGCCTCAAATCCACCATCCATGCGCAGTACTCCATCGCCAGTACCATCGAATTCGAGCAGCTCGAAACCAAAGCGCGCTATGTCGGTGCTGACATCGGAACGTTCTGAGGAGTCGGAATCCGACTCACAGATGGATTGTCGCACCGAAGGCGATTCTAATATCGATACCGAAGGTGAAGGTACGGGTGAGCTTGGGATAAATGATGAAATAGAGTTGGTTTTTAAACCACATCCAACTGAAATGGCAGGTGATAATCAATTGATGAAGGCTTTGAAAGAAAATTGCATTCGCTATATAAAGACGACTGCAAATGCCACAGGTCAATAACAGAGCATATTAAAATTATTAAATATTTAATTAGTGATTTCATTTACAGTTGACCACTTGAGCAAATACTTAGCTATGCGGTTAACATTGGATTTAGGATCAGAACTTCCAGAAGCATATCGAATGCTAAATTTTTGCATATACATTGCGCCACAACCTCAGCAGTTGGTTGTATTGAATGGTAATCAGACGCTTCACCAAGTAAATGACAAATTCTGGAAGGTATCGAAAGTAGTTATTAAATTTAAACACTAAACCAAATTATATTTCTACTAAATGTAATATCATTTTAGGTAAACAAACCAATGGAGATGTATTATTCGTGGAAAAAATCCTAAGCAATGGTGATTATTTAAATCAAAGATATTGCAAGCGGCATCGCAAAGTAAACATCCACACATTTATCCGGGTTTTATTGCCTTTCGATCCGCTGGCTATATCATAAGAAAATTATATAAGTGCGCCCATAAATATGCTTTGTAAAGCATAAGCTTTATATCGGAAATACATAAACGCAAATGCATGCACATACATTTATAAAGTGAAATAAATTAATTTAAATAACGTAAAGTACTAAAAAATTGATAGGTATTTATTTGCTAACTCTTAGGTGTAGATTTAAGCACATTGTAGGAAAAACAATCTATAATGCTGATAGCTTTTACAAAGCAAGTCTGGGAAAGATTATAGTTTCATTGTATGTTAATACATATACATCTATGTATGTGCTGATTACGTACTGAAAGGTAGTGTTGGATGGAAATAGTAAAATAAGGAAACCAAGCTTTGTGATGTATCTTTGGAGCAATAACACGAGGCATGTGTTTGTGTTTTTTTTTTCGAATCTCTATAGGAAATCATCTGTTGGCGGCAGTTGGCTTTCTATCACTTTCGTTGTCTTTTCTTCCCCTGCCTTAGTGCCGGCACTCAGGGTACCTGTTTCAGTTTGTTTAATATCGCATGCTTGTAATTTCTGTACTCTCCGCTGGCTTCAATTTCGCTCCGGTAATCGGCTTGTATTCGTTTCAAATCACGTTCTATTTCATGTATATGAATATCTTGCCTTTGTTTTTCTTCGATCATCATTATATAAAGATTTAGCTTTTTCTCAAGATAATATTTCAGTTCCATTTCAATGAGTGTATTTAATTGTTCAAATGTTAAACTATCCTCCCTTAAGTATTCTCCGCATATTTCATAAATATCCAAAAAATTTTCGACTTCGCTTTTATCCCCACAACGTTCTTGCTCTAAGAAGCGTCGAAAGATCTGTGCAGCTCGCGAGTCATTTAGCGTGTCTTGTGCATTCAGACGATAAATACGACGCACCTCCTCCTCAGACATTTCCGAGCAGCCGCAAAAGCATGTCAACAGTCGTTTGGCGACCTATGGGGAAAAATGAATTATTCTTAATACGATAGTTTTTTGCTGTGATGACGTGAGCTTCAAGGGTCGGGGCATGGGTTATGTTATCATGGTTTGGGGTGGGACTTGAGACACACAAACGTATGCACATATATTTACACTAACCTTGCACGTCCCTGTTGCCATTTTGAGTAAAAGGAATCGAATTTTCTGAAACTATTTGCTATTTTTAATCGGAGGTGACGAATCGATCCCCGGTTCTCTTTTTACAAGCTTTTCCAATACAATCTTCAATCCTATTGACTAGCAAAAATGCCCCTATTGTTTTACTATCACTGATAAATGTTTATTTTTTCCTATTGTTAAATACTCAAAAAATTTAAAAACAATACAAAATGTGTTTTGCCAAATTGCTGGTAGTACAACAACACTAAAATTTTGACCAGTTTTGACATTTCTTCCCACACGCCATCCTAATCGGTTAGGTCTAAAAATTCACCAGCACGAGCGGTTAGACTGGGTTCACACAGAGAAACTTTTTTTGATCATTATCGACAATTTCTCTTTTGGTGTTGCCCGAGCACGAGCAACTCGGTGCCCTTCCTCCTTTCGCGTCACTCGCTCTTCCACATGTAACGAGTAGCCGCGACAAAAGTTTCTCTGTCTGATCCTAGACTTATGGACAAGGCTACCAAGTCTGTGTTTATATATGGAAAATTTTTTCGACGCCGTTTTTCCTATTACCTTTTGGTTTGGCTCGTTTCATTTAAACACGGCGACTTTTTTGTATGCATTTGTTGATGATGTGTTTGTTGTAAACAAGGCGAATTCATATTACAACAAACACATCATTTTGACATTAAGAAGTACCGCGGCGAAAATCAAAATTAGCCAGGAACACCATCTTGTATAAATTCGCCTTTTATTCAAGTGTGTGGCAAGTCATCGATAGTTGATGTTAGTTTTTTGCATCACTATCGATTGTGCCGATTGTCATTTTTTCCGATAGTGCACCGATTGTCTCGATAATGTGGATGCATTTTTTTAATTTGAATGCAGCAAAAGGACATGTAAAAATTACGTTTGAAGGTAATATGAATTGATTTATTTAAATTATATAATAAATTGCAGGTTTCAAGTTGCTGAAGAATCTCCTAGAAACAGTGTTACTTCTATAACTATTCTTTGCCCATTAATATAGTTGAATGTATTTTATTTTTGCTCAGTATACACACTTTGTTTTCTTAAAAAGGTATTTTATCGTATTTTATTTCATTTCATATCGAATATACTATAAAAAAGCAAATTTTGTTTAGGAGAAAATGTGAAATTTTATATTTTGCCCCCATATGGGTATTCATTTCTTCCCGTTTTTCTTCTCATTCTACTGAGCTAAGGCAGTGTCAAATCGAGCTGTCACAACTGATACCACCTTGTATTCTTGCATCATGGTCACGCATTTTCTTCCATATAAAAACGAACTTCTTTGTTTAGAAGAAAATGGGTGACACTGTTTTATTATACAAAAATTTAAAGGATTATAAAATTGTCCCATCGCTACCATAGATGGTGCCATCGATAGTTTGTCACTACCAGTGGCAACACCTTATGAGATCAGCTGTGCATAAACAAAAAGTGTATTGTACGATTTTTACAAAATATAATTATTTTGGTAGGGATTTTATTGTGGATAATTAGAAGCAAGTCATTATTTTTGGTGATTTATAAATATGGCTGCTGCTCGGTCACGCCGCACAAATGCCGGTACTAAAATCGCAAAATTGCTAAATGAAGAGGAGGAAGATGAATTCTATAAGACATCCTACGGTGGCTTCCACGATGAAGAAGAGGATCAAGAATATGTGTATGATCGAAAAATGTCTTTTATAGTTTAATATTTAAAATCGGTTAAAAATTTTAGTCAAAAAGAAGAAGAGGAAGATGTAGTGGATTCAGATTTTAGTATTGACGAAAATGATGAACCAATTTCGGATACTGAGGATGCACCAGAAAAGAAGCGAAAGCGCGGAGGTGTTAATACCAAAGCTTACAAAGTAAATATATTTATATACATTTGTTCATATATATTAAAGTTATTCATAAGTACCCAACGTTTTATATGTATCATATTCTATTAAATTCATAACCAGGAGCCTGCTGTTAAGAAGGATGTGTCAACATTACCAAAAAGGAAGACCTCAAAAATCGTCAGACGACCTCGCCCCAAGTTCACTATAATTGATTCCGGTCGAAAATCTATAAGGGCTTCAACTGCAATAAAAACACAAGCTACTAAGATTCGCTTGAAGGAAATGGATGACGCACGTAAGAAAAAGAGGCGCGTCAAAAGGGTAGAGGAATATATGCCAACTCAGGAAGAATTACTTGAGGAAGCAAAAATAACTGAAGAGGAAAATATAAAATCTCTGGGTGCGAGCGAACAAGATTAAACTAAGTAAATATATTAAGAATATTGCTAATGTTGCGCGATTTTATTTTTATAGAGAAGTTCCAAAAGATGGAATTGGAAAAGAAGAAAACGCGCCCCACAAAGCGCATATACACAGGTCCAATGATACGTTACCATTCAATGACAATGCCAGTAGCGCGTAAGCAAACTAGAGGATCAAATACGAATGCTGATGCCACCGATTCGTCAGCAAAATGTGAACGCACGTTCATAACATTCGAAAATGATCTCAATGATAAAGTATTTCAGTCTGTTTTTAAACCAAAACCGTTGAACAGTAATTCTGGCTACTTGTGTCCGATAACCAGGTGCGTAAAGTGGGAATTTGGTTTTTATTATCAATCAAATATGTTTTACATTTAGATTACCTGCGCGCTACTTTGACCCTGTTACTAAGCAGCCATATTACAGCATGCAAGTGTTTAAAATATTACGCGAAGCTTATTATCTACAGTTGGAGGAACGCGGTAATACCGAAAATCCAGATGTGGCTAAATGGTTAGAATGGCGCAAAATTGTCAAAGAAAATCGCGCGAAAGCGTCTGCGACCAAAGCAAGCTCAAGCTCATAATGCTCCTCATTTAGTAAGAAAAATCTGTTTTTAGTCTTGTCTTATTGGCACATTTTAATCGCAATAGTTTTATAATCGTTACATTACGCAACGAGAATCTTACCTATTAGCTACACTATTTTTTTAAAACATCGATTCTATATAAATATCGTAAGATTGTACTTAAGAGTACTGTTAACAAATTACAAATATTTTGTATTGGAAATTATATAAACGCAGCCGACGAAGAACAGTTTCGATTTTATTATTGCTACTCGCTTGACCTCGTATTGTAATCTGTTGGGCTATCACATCATTCCTCAGTCTGCGTCGGGCTAGACTGTGATTGTTAAATAAGCGTGTCCTCATCATGACCCTCGAATACCATTAGCAACGAGTGCTGAGATGGCGACCGTCCTAGTGTCATGCCACCCAAGGAGCCATCCGGCGAAAGCAAACCGGTTTGCAAGCTGTTGTTGTCACGATAACCAGATGTGGAGGAAGTTTGTGACACCGAATCCCATGAGATCTCGCCTATAGTCTT